ATGGAAAAGTTCAAGGGGTATGAATACTTTTGCAAACCACTGTATGGTTTGATTTCTTTGTATGTATGGATCACTTGGGTTGTTACCGACATCTGGTGAAAATTTCATGTCATTAGCACCTCTAGTAATATATTTACTGAGAAAAATGTTGACGTGTTCAATACTTATTTTACCCGCTGTACATGTCACAAACCTCACAATGAGGCAGTTTTAATCATTCGAATGTGATTCATTCAGAAACTCTTGTAGGCTGTGTGTAGTATTTAAAGTTTCCTTTCATGTGTGTGTGAATCAACAAGAAGCCAACCAGCAGGAGTCTTGTTCTACATTCTGTTTACCAGCTTGACTGAGGAGCACGGAGGCTAATTTGGATATTCTGTGGGCCCCGAAAATACCAAAGCATGCATAAATGTTCAGACAGAAAAATAGATCAGTTTTTCCTGAACCGAGTTATTAAATAAAAATAAAAATGGCACCGTTTTCAAATTTCTTGATTAAAAAGAGCAAGAAATCATCCTTTTCTCTACCTCACTGCTCAATATCTGCCAATACAAGAGTCCAACTCCATAAAAACTCTGGTTATAATTCAAATATTAATGGACAAAGCTTTGAAAAATGTTTTGGCAAGGGCATTACAGAACCACTCACTTTCAAAGTAATGAGGTATGAGGTTGTAAACCCTTGTAATAGAATGGTCGRACCCAGAGTGCTGCATGAAGGACCCATAAAACTCCAGAACCCCATTTTCAGATAGCTGCGACTAAAACGTGCTGCCAGGCACGACTGTTTTCTGCAGATCAAGTTATCACAGCTGAGGCCAACTGATGCTGTTTGCTGAATACAAAGGCTGGCATGTGACCGATCATCTGACAGTTCCCACAAACACGAGGAAGGGAAAGTTAGTCGACTCATGCTGTCCTTATTTGAGTCCATATGCAGTTTCAGCTGACAAGYGACTATCAAACGTACAAGGTCAATGTTTGTTTTTGTTTTGGGCTGAACTCAGACACAAACTCATTAATACTTTTACTCTTTGCAGCTTCACTGTTCTACTCACCTCTCTCTCATTCACACATAAATTCTGTTTTGCTTCTACTCACTTTCATTCCTTGTCTCTCCAAACTGTAGCTTCACCTCTCTAGACTCTCTTCCACCTGCTCCCTTGTATCACTACAGACCTGTTGTAAGTGAACATCATAGTCAGTAATATTCAGTAAACTATAAAAAGTGATTGTATTGTATGAATTTATATATTATCTAACAAACAGTGGGCTTTTAAAATGTTTTTTTAGTGTTTCTAATGAATGATTGTGTGAATATTTATAAAACATTCACACAATTGAGATTTTTTTCCCTTCTGTATGTTTTGTGGCACATATTTTGTTCTGCAACTTTCGTACAATTTCAACAATTTTTATATCAGAATCAGCTCCTTCAAAACATTCTGGCTTTGACTTTTGGTATTTTAGCAATTTATGCATTTGGAGATATTTAACTTTTTCAACYATCTTTTTGTCATTTTCTTCAACACCCTTCAAAAATTTCATAACGTTTATAAATCTTTACTGTACTTTTTACATTTTATTCTGATTTAGTTTTTTTAGCTTCTCTGTGCAAATTTCTTTTTTTCAGCTTCTGTTTTGCTGATTTTAGCTTTATACAGTGGTTTGCAAAAGTATTCATACCCCTTGAACTTTTCCATATTTTGTCACATTACAACCACAAACATAAATATATTTCACTGGAATTTAATGTGAAAGACCAACACAAAGTGGTATACAATTGTGAAGTGGAAGCAAAATTTTACATGAATCAAAACATTTTTTACAAATAAAAAACTGAAAAGTGCGATGTGCAAAATTATTCAGCCCCCCTGAGTCAATACTTTGTGGAGCCACCTTTTGCTGCAATTACAGCTGCAAGTCTTTTAGGGTATGTCTCCACCAGCTTTGCACATCTAGTGACTGCAATTCTTGCCCATTCCTCCTTGCAAAACAGCTCAAGCTCAGTCAGATTGGATGGAGAGCGTTTGTGAACAGCAGTTTTGAGATCTTGCCACAAATTCTCAATTGGGTTTAGGTCTGGACTTTGACTGGGCCATTCTAACACATGAATATTCTTTTTTTTAAACCACTCCATTGTAGCTTTGGCTTTATGTTTAGGGTCGTTGTCCTGCTGGAAGGTGAACCTCCGCCCCAGTCTCAAATCTTTTGCTGACTCCAACAGGTTTTCTTCCAAGATTGCCCTGTATTTGGCTCCATCCATCTTCCCATCAACTTTGACCAACTTCCCGGTCCCTGCTGAAGAGAAGCACCCCCAGAGCATGATGCTGCCACCACCATATTTGACAGTGGGGATGGTGTTTTCAGAGTGATGTGCAGTGTTCTTTCTCCGCCACACATAGCGTTTTGCATTGTGGCCAAAAAGTTCAATTTTGGTCTCGTCTGACCAAAGCACCTTCTTCCACATGTTTGCTGTGTCCTCAACATGGCTTCTGGCAAACTGCAAACGGGACTTCTTATGGTTTTCTTTTAACAATGGCTTTCTCCTTGCCACTCTTCCATAAAGACCACATTTGTGTAGTGCACGACTAATTGTTGTCCTGTGGACAGTTTCCCCCACCTGAGCTGTGGCTCTCTGCATTTCATCCAGAGTCACCATGGGCCTCTTGGCTGCCTCTGTGATCAGTGATCTCCTTGTTCGGCCTGTAAGTTTAGGTGGACGGCCTTGTCTTGGCAGGTTTACTGTGGTGCCAAACTCTTTCCATTTCCGGATGATGGATTGAACAGTGCTCCGTGAGATGTTCAAAGCTTGGGAAATCTTTTTATAACCTAAGCCTGCTTTAAACTTCTCCAAAACCATATTCCTAACCTGTCTGGTGTGTTCTTTGGACTTCATGATGCTGTTTGCTCCCCAATMTTCTCTTAACCAACATCTGAGGCCGTCACGGAGCAGCTGTATTTGTACTGAGATTAGATTACACACAGGTGGACCCTTTTGAGTCATTAGCAGTCATCAGGCAACTTCTGAATGCAATTCGTTGCACTCAGGGAAAAGGGGGCTGAATACTTTTGCACGTCGCACTTTTCAGTTTTTTATTTGTAAAAAATGTTTTGATTCATGTAAAATTTTGCTTCCACTTCACAATTGTATACCACTTTGTGTTGGTCTTTCACATTAAATTCCAGTGAAATATATTTATGTTTGTGGTTGTAATGTGACAAAATATGGAAAAGTTCAAGGGGTATGAATACTTTTGCAAACCACAGTATCTGCCTTTTTAGCTTTTCTTCTGACCTTTTCTGCTATTATTTTGCTTATTTCAACTTTTTCTTCTGCTACTTCAAACTTTTCTTGTGTTCTTTTTCACATTTTCCTGCTCTCTTCAGCTCTTTCTGCCTCTTTCAGCTACATTTCTGCTCCTTTTACTTTTTTTCTGCACATTTCTGCATTTTTCAGTTCAGGGGCGTTTCTGCCCCTTGAAGCTTTTTTATGTTCTCAGTTGGGGTTCTTCAGGCAATTTCAGGAATCATTCAGCTAATTTTGGGTTCCAATTCAACTGTTCAGCTKTTCATTAAAAAAATTCCGCTTCTTCAGCTTTCAGCTAAAATATTCTTTTTTTTCAGAAACTGCATCTTATGTAGTGTTGCATTTAGAAATGCTTGTCATGAACATTTTTTTGAGAAACTAAAATTTATAAACTTTACACAACCTAAAATGCTCAAATAACCATTAATATTAGCTAGAAAAATGTAATTAGGGTTTAGGAATACGACTCCAGGAAATGCATTTCCTAATAAACTGAGCTAAGCGAGGTAAGCTACTGGTAGTAAGAAGGATTAGGTCCAGCTTCGTTGTGCTTGTACCTACTGAAATAATTATTTTCTTCCTCACAGCAAAATATTCTCACTATTTGCTTCAGAACACCAAACAATATGAGATTTTCTGGGTAAATCTGTGCAACTTGCCCGTTTTAAAACTTTTTTWAATGTTTTTAGGATGCAGAGTGGGCCAGGGTCACAACGAGCAGGGACACCTTCCTGTGCAGAGCTGTGATCGTCACCTGCCCCCCTCATTTGGCAGGTCAGTGTATGTCTCCCACGTCTGTCCAGTCGCCAAATGAAGTTCTCGCTGATGCAGAAGGCAAATATCCCACTTTCTCATCAGCTTAGTCAAATGTGACAAATTTGTGCATCCGTATCAACAAAAATTTTCAATCTTTTCCTGGCTCCGGGATGCGGGAGTCACTTTGGGCTTTAAGCACATTCTGTCTGAGGTCAGGTCTGGGCTGAAGAATTGCTTGGATTTGATTTTCAACCGGCGCCAGAGTTAAAGCCAAAACTTTATAGTTGGGGGCTAATGCGACATTCACCATGGCTGTATGTGGGAAGCTGAAAGTGGTAAACACGTCACTGCCAACTTGTCAAGGAGAGAAACATTTGGACACCTGCAGGGGGTCGTTTCTCAAGAAAAGTTTTAAATTATTTACTGAATTTTTTGTTCCAAATATAAGAGGCTTACTTTTAGTGTTGACCTTGTGTGTGGATTTAAACCATGATCTGAAATGCATACTGAGCTGAATGGACTTGTAGATTTTCCTTTTGGGTAAACTGAAATCCTGCGTTCAAACCTTGAATCAACTGCAGGCTTTAAGTATGTAAATTTTGGGTTAGATTTTTTTATCCCTTCTTTTCAGATAATGTTTATCCTGTGCAGAGCAGGGCTTATTTAGTTTCTGTAATTTGTGTCTCTTTTCTAACTGTGATGCTGAAATCAATCTCAGCAAAACATTTTGAAGAGTTATTTCAGTTTTTGAAATGYGCTTAGAAGAGAGAGGAGCAAAAACAGGATGTGCAGGTGCTTATTTGCAGTTGTACGAGCATGGATGATTTACTGAAGGAGATTGACACATTAGTTCTGTGCTGTAAGAAAATAGTTTGTTTAYACCAGGGGTGTCAAACTCATTTCCCCCCGAGGGCCACATGAGCATCATGGTGGCCCTCCAAGGGTCAGTTATAAGTAACTCTGACATTTAATGTTTAACTTTGACTAAACAGGAAACAGTCCTCGTCTCATTGCTATAGCTGAGCAGTGCTAACGAACAATAACTGAGCTCTACCTGGTATTTCCTGCATGGAAACAGCATTCAACACATCCTCTTATAAACACTGAAAGTTACTACGTGTATGAAATAAATAATACAGAATTACTATTTAAAATGAAAACAATACTTTGACTCACTGATGAGTTGTAATAATTAGCTGCCATCTTGAAGTCTAAACTCTCCCACATTCTGACACGGAATTCCCACTGGAGGGGCGTTCCAGTTTAAATTTTCAACTTGTAAGTGGGAAGTTCCCACTTCACAGAACAACTAGGCTGCAGCAAATGTTGCCTTCAAAAATGAAGCTAAATGTAGATTTTACACGACTTGCTGCCGTCTACTTTTGAACCCTGTGCAGCTCTACCTAGTGGTGGGATATAGTAATTTGGCGGGTAAAGCAATCAACATGAGTTATGGGAGATGTAGTTTGTAGTGGTGCAACGATWCARAAAATTCACGATTCTGTTCGATTTGATACTTTAGTCTCACTGTTTGATATTTTTTCGATACAAAAAAGAGAAATTTTCATGTCCTTTTGAACTTGTAATTTATTTAAATTAAGTATGAACATTTGTTTAATTAAATGTTGCTGAAACAGCAAGTTTCTCAGTGGATCTGTACTCGAAAATGCAGCCTAGGTGGAGTAGTCGAACACAGATCCACTGATCCTTCAACACAGTGCATCTTCAGAAGACAAGTTGATAAAATAAATAAAAAAATGTGTATTGTTCGATACAAGTGTGTATTGAACCTAAAGCACTGTATTGAACGGTTTGATACGGGTACATGTATTGTTGCACCCCTAGTAGTTTGTGGTTAATGCGTTATACACTTATTTTAAAGACATCAATGCATCTTTAATGTTCTTGGGGGCCGCATAAAATGCTGTAGAGGACAACATTTGGCCCACGGGCCTTGAGTTTGACACATGTAGCTTACACTGTATGTTGCAATTTCTATATAAACTGGATAGTACGTTTAATATTTATCAAAACAGTGGAGAAAAGATGCAGTGAGCTCAGTCTCTGCTGAAAGTTGATAAGTTTAAATTAGTTATTAAGAGTGAAACAAAGGAAAAACAGGCAGCAAAAACTAAATATCCAAACATATTTACTTGATAATTCCCTTTTTAAAAACACATTATACTTCCTTATGCTTGGGTTCATCAGTGCAATATTTGTCCTTCGTTGTTCATTTGGACTTGTTAGGTTAATGCACCAAATTGAGGTCTTTTCGTGTTTCATGTTGGCAGATACAGTGGGAAGTGTTACCTTACAAGTGCTTTAATGAAGTTTCTCATAATCTAATTTGGGAAGACCCTGCACTGGGGTTTGCAAATAATTTTGTGCCATTAACAAGGAGGGGTCAAAGGAAGGTTTCGAATTAACAATTAAACACCTTCAACTCCTTTCTCCCCTTGTCCTTGCTCTTCTGCTGGCAAATGAGAACAGAAAAAAACACATGGAGGTTTCCCATGGATGAATGGAGATGTACAAATTGAGAAAGGAGATGAGTAGATGCTGACTCGAGGCTCGACGCWGGTTGAAGTTGAAACTGGATTTGGGGCTGGTTTGCCAGCTTTGTAAGGAGCCGGAGCTCAGCCACTACATTGTGCCTGTGCTTATTTGTCCTATAAGCCAAATGCAGATGTGTCAGTCACAGCCTCACACTCTCAGGCGTGGAACATGGCCAGGATTCCTAATGACACAGGTCTGGGAGCAGTGGTGAATTATGCAGCACGGGCTGCTTTAGCTCTCATGGCGCAGTGAAACACTGTGGCCTCGAATGGAGGGAGGTTGACAACGATCAGTGAGAAATCCTCTGAATGATTGAGACATCACCTCTCCCAAAAGAACTTATGGTGGGTGGGGGGTACATTACAAACCAGATTGTTGCMGAATGAAACAGATGGGGTTGACATCGATCCCTACATGGTTCCAGGTCTCTCTTGGACAGTAAAGGTCCAAAGCGAGTGTTCACTCCTGCTATCGCCTCTTGTGTTTTGACTGCTATCGCCTCTTGTGTTTTGACTTGGTTCGTAGATCTTGCATTCAGACATCCCGAATGACATTCTCACGTCTCTTGCTTTTGAATGATTTAAAATGAGGAAAAGAAAAAGGACTAGAGATAATTTTAGACCCGGAGTTCGCCTGGCATTGAAAGATGAGCCACTCTATTTACACATGCCAGAGTGAGTTCTGGAAACGAGCTCCACGTTCCCAATAAATTATGCTTGTCCTGCTCTTGGCTTGTGGATTTATTTCCTCGTCCGTCTATCCATCTATCCATCTATCCATTATTTATACTGACTCCTGCCAGCTTTTTTATCCATTTTGTTGCCACTTCTCTTACTTACCTCAATGATTTATGAACTGTTTGGTCTCACAACTTTTTTTGAGATTACTGTGCATGAAAATGTTAGCTCATCCTTTTTGTTCACTGTGCCACAATGTGGAATAAAAGCCCAGAGTGGCCTTCCACAGCAGGCATTTGGAGTATGCTGCAATTAGTTGTGCTAATTTAGCAGTCAATGTGCTTACGATCTCTGTTTTTGAGGTAGAAAGCAGAACACAAATGAGGCACACGTGTCTTTGCCTACATTTGCTTCTCGAACTCTTGACAACTTTTGCAAAAGTCACTGTACCTGACTCGAGAAGGGGGGGGGGGGG